AAACCAGTCAGAGAGAGATAAATATCACATGATCTCACTCATTTGTGGAATATAAAGAACATCATAAACTGATGAACAAAAATAGATACAGAGACAGAGAAACATGGAACAGACTGTCAAACTGCAGCGGGAAGGCAGAGGAAGGTTGGGGTCAGGTGATAAGAGATCAACCAAAGGACTTGTATGCATGCATATAAGTATAGCCAATGGACACAGACACTGGGGGGTGAGGGCATGTGTCGGGGGATAGAGGAGGCCAGGGGAAGGTCAATGGGTGAAAAAGGAGACATATGTAGTACTATTTGTAATACTTTAAACAATAAAAAGAAAAAACTATTGGCACTGAAAAATGAATTCTCTTCTCCTTCTGGCATCCCTATGATGTGAATGTTGGTATGGTTGATGTGAGCTAGAAGTCTTTAAACTCTCCTCAGTTTCTGTTTTTGTTTTTTGCTGTTCTGATAGGGTGTTTTCCTCTATCTTCTCTTCTAAATCACTAATTTTATCCTCTGCATCATCTAATAAACTATTGATTTCCTCTAATGTATCCTTCAATTATTGTATTCATTTCTGACTGGTTATTTTTTGTTTCCTATCTCTTTGTTAAAGTTCTCACTGAGTTCATCTACTATTGCCCTAAGGTCATTGAACATCCTTAAAACCAGTGTTTGAACTCTGCATCAGATAGATTGCTTGTCTCCATTTTGTTTAGTTCTTTTTCTGAAATTTTATCCTGTTTTTCATGTTTCTTTGTCTCCTCATTTTGACTGCCTCCCTGTGTTTGTTTATAGGTAGAACTGCTGTATCTCTCAGTCTTGGTAGAGTGGCTGTAGGTAGTATGTGTCCTTTTCCTTGGTCATCTGAGCTGGGTACTCCATTGGTATCCTTTTTGTGGATTGTATGTGTCCTCCTGTTATAGTGGAGCCTTGATTGCTGCTGTGACATCACTGGGAGGAATTGATTCTTAAGCTGACTGGCTATGAGAAGTGAGTATGACTGTAGCAAATGACCTATTTGTTGGGGGTCTGACCCCACTGAGTGGGATTTGCTTCAGCTGGGCCCTGGTGCCTACTAAGTCCATCCTTTTGGGTATGTCATTTGTGGAGCTGATTGGGTGGTGCTCTGGTATGTTCTAAAGCCAGGCACCAGGTGTGTTGGTTCTGGGACCTCTGGGGAGGAACTTTGGCATAGGCCAAGTTCAGCCACTGCCTGTGCCTGATTCAGGGCCACCTGGTAGGAGCTGCAAAGTGATCTGTAGTTGACTGTCACCTGTGCTGGGCTTGGAGGGTGCTGGAAAAAGGTAAGCTCTGAACTGAGGCTGGCTGCCACTAGTGCCAGGCTTGGAGCTGTTTAGCAAGAGGTAAAGGATATACCAAGTACAGCTGCTGACTGTTTGGGATTACTGGGCCTTTGAGATGTTTCAGGAAAGTCCACAGCATGAGGTCAGACAGGTTATTTGTGTGGGAAAGCCTTCAAACGAGGTTTGGTCTGTGCACTCGAGTTGGGTAGGGTGGGGTCTCAGGGAATCACCAGGATAGGGTGAATGATGTTAACCAAGTTAACAAGTGCCTGCTGGCTTTTGGGGGGAACAATGGTGTTTGCCAGCACTTCCATTCCAACAGAGAGCTGTCCTGACCCCTGACCTTCCAGCCCTCACCCTGAAGCTTGGCAATTCAGCTCCTCCCCAGATGTCACTGGTGGTTTTCGAGCTGCTGCCCCTGTGGTGGAGCCCAGAATGAGTGAGTTTGTGAGTGAGTAAGTCTGTGCTCAGACCCCTCAAGAGGATGGATGCCTTGGTCTCCAAGAGCCTTCAGTCTAACTCAGTTGCAATCCCTGCTACTTCTCTCATACCGATCTCTCTCTCTCTCTCTCTCTCTCTCTCTCTCTCTCTCTCTCTCTCTCAACATAACCTCAGTGAGGATTAAAAAAAAAGAAGAAGAATATTAGGTTTCCAAATGAGCCTTATCCAGTGCCTAGCACTTAACTGGTGTTTAGGGAAATATTTGGGGGGGGGGGTGAAACCGGCTTGATTTGTCTCTTTAACCCAGGATGCCTGTGAGCTGCTGCCATCCTAGATATATGAGAAGGAATAGGTGGGTAAGAGTACTGGATTGAGAGTCAGAAGTCTAGCTGTAACCCTAACTCTACCCTTAAGTAGCTGTGTGACTTGGAGTAAGTTGCTTTACCTCTCTGTCTCTCAATTTTCAGTTATTGTATATAAGATATCTAACATGGACCCAAGGTGCTTATGAGGTACTCAGTGACTATGTCTTCCCTTTTCTAGACCCTTCTGGAATGTATGTACTCACTTTATATATCAGAATATCTTTTTGTCCTCCTTCTCATCATCGTCACATCTTTGTCAACCCCTTTCCTGGCTGAAACAAAGCCTCTCCCCCCACCCCACCTCCCCCAACCCTGTGTGTGTGTGTGTGTGTGTGTGTGTGTGTGTGTGTGTGTGTGTATACACAGACGATTAGAAAAAATCCAATGAAAGAGGAAATCCGTCTAATACTCAGACTACCAGCTTATTCTATGGTGTACCCTGTTTTCTCATCATTTTTATCTGTGGTCTTTTTATTCAAGGCCTCAGACCTGAAAAAAAAAAGTGGGCTAAAGAATCTCTTATAGGAAGTTAATCTGACTGATTACATTTCCCAGAAATGCAAAGGATAACATCAAAGGGCTGTTACAAGTCATCAGGGAGGAAACCTGTCCTGATGGAGGCACCTGACAGGTGAGAGCAGAAAGGAAGTATCTGTGAGTGACCCCAGAACAAGGGGGCATAGGGGTGAAAGAGTGGGGACAGATTCATCAGTGTTTTCTCAGGAGCCCAGTTCTTAGCTTTCATTAGCTGCTTCTGCTTCTTCAACTGCTTCATTAACTTGAGCAGAAGTCGTTCAGGGTAGCTGTTGGCTGGTGTTTTCTCTGGGAGAGAGCTAGGAGACTGCCTATAATCACTCCAGTTAGCAGTTGGCATCTCCCCAATCTGCTTTCTGGCTTGGACTGGCTCAGTCTTAACATTTGCAGAACCTGAGGCAATGCTCACAAATGAGTGCAGATTGTATCCTTGCCCCATGTGGGTGGGCTTTGGCACCAGCTGGCATAGTTGAATATCTCACACTGAAGCCTGTGAAGACCAGCCCCAAGTACCACTGCTCCTAATGAAAGCAGCTCTGCTCTCTAGCAGTTACTGAAGTGCAAAGCTATGGGGGAGCAGAACTCTGAATGTGGCCTTAGGCAGGGATCCAGCCCAGAAAGCAGTCATTAGTGGCCTGTACTATGAGTAAATGTTCCCTGGGAAGTTAAGACATGAGCTAAATGAAATTATGATGATAATACCACCATAATCAACTACCTTTGACTGAGTACATACTCTGCTCCAGGCACTGGGCTAAAAACCCTTTGAATTCATGTCCTGTCTTTATACAACAGCCTGTTAAGATAGATATTAATACCTTTTTACAGTTGGATAGTTGGAAGCTTAAAAGATGAAGTAACCAGTCCAAGATTACACAAGCTCAGTGGCAGAGCTAAGACTACTGACCCCAGAGCTCAAGCTCTTACCACTCACTATGCTAGTATCTGTTCTGCCTTACATGACGATTGGACAAAGAACTTTCCAAAGGTTGCATGTGCCAGAAGCAGGGGGGAATAATGAAGGTTGTGAGTTCTAAATTCCATACCCCCATGGATTAGTTATACAGACTGACCTCTAAGAGACTGGAGAAAGAAGGTTTGGCTCAAACTGACCCTTATTCAAGAGGCAGGTTTAGTAGCAAGCCCTGCGCAACCAACTACTATGGTTCCACTGATCCCTTCCCTCAGACTCCATGGTGTTGTCTAGGAAGATGAACCTAGCAGCAGAAGGTTTAAAGAAGTCAGGAAACATGCAGTCTGAGGTATGTGGAAGATGAGGGAGTAGGCAAATTTCCAGCCTTGCTTTGATGTGGCTGGGATGTTTGTATTACACATGAGCCTCATCTTTTTTTTTCTCTCTCTCTCTTATTTTTTTTTTCAAGCCCCAACTGCTCTAGTCATTTTTTTCTCCCCTAACTCCCTGAAGGTATAACTCTATCTGCTGCCTTCCAGCTCAGTCATTGACTGAGTCCATGGGGGTGAGTCAGTATGAGTTCCATGCTTGTAGGTGCAGAACCACTGTACCTTCTGTCCACCCTGGCAGGTTGTAACATTTACCATCACCCACTTTGAGACTTTGTTTTTTTATCAAGGTACCCCTACCTATAAATGCCTCTTTGTTTTCCTCTCTGCTAGATACATCTTCCTATTGTTTCCAATTCAATAATTATTTTACCTGCTCTCTCTTCCCAAGCAGTTATATTCAGAGAACTACTCCATTCTCTGGAAATTGGGACCTCCCCAATTTCTGAATCCAATGCAGGACACATGAATATGTAGAAATACATGTCTGTGGCTGCTGTTCCTGGTCCTTTTAGTCAGAAAGACCTGACTGCTCTATTAGTTTTTAAGTGCCTTAAAGAGAGGTAGGCTGGTGTGGTGGAAAGGGCACTAGACAGCATAGAGGCCAAAGCTGCCCTAATTCCTGCAAAAGAAACTGCTGACTGGGAATAGAGGCCTGAACCTGTCACCTCAGCCTGGTGCTGGAAGGCATGGTCTGTACTGAGACCAAGGCTATGTGGTCACTAACCACTAATGCTCCAGGAGTTCTGCTGGTGGGCCTTGAAGAATCTTCTCCAGAAATCCTATGCTTCCTTTAGGTTCCCCCAGCACTGATCCCTCACTTCCTTGTCCCTCCTCCTTGTGACAGCTACCTCCTCCTCCCCTCTCATCCTCCTGGTCCACAGTGCTTCCCACCCCAACAACTCTCCCTCCCCCTTTACTTCCAGCTGATGCAGCCAGCCATGCTTTCTCCGGTCTCTCCTCCTACTCCCTCCCCGCTTAAATCCAGTCCTGGTTTCCCAGAAGCCAGGCTCCCTTTCCTCTTTGCCCCTCCCCCCTCCGCCCTGCAGGTGGCAACTTGGGGGGGTGGTGTCAGCTGGTCATCAACCCAAGCTGGCCCAGTCCGGGCGACTCCAGATCTCGCTGCTGCCCGACCCAGGTAGGACTCCAGAAGCTGGGGAGGCGGGCAGGGTACAGCTGGCAGCCTCCCGGAGGACAATGCACCCAGCTCTTGGCCATCCCCGCTCGGTCTCTGTCTTGTCCTGGTCCAGCTCTGTCCTGCCGCTCCCAGCCGCCACCGGGTCGCAGCCCTTTTTCCTCCAGGGGGGTTTCCCTCGTGGCGGGAGAGGCTCCAGCGACAGCAACACCAGCACCAGCGCCAGTACCAGCCTGGGGGAAAGCCGCGGCGGGAGCAGCGGTTCCCCCAGCAGCAGCACCGGCGCAGAGCGGGAGGACAACCACAACCAGAGCGTCAGTATACGCAAACCACTGGTTCCCACTGCCGCCACTGCCGGGATCGCGGGACCCCTAGCCCCAAACGCTGACCCAGCAGCGCGTGTGGCTTTCTCCTCCTCGGCCGCCACCCCCTCCTCCACGCCCACCTACTCCTGCAGCATGACAGCAGCGGACGTCAGTGGGAGTGCTGCCAGGGGCATCTTCAGTGGGGGTGCTGCCGGGAGTGTTGGGGGCCCCGGGGCCCGCTTGGCTGGGGTTACCACCGGTGGCGCAGGGACCAGCAGCGGCGCCTCCTGCTGTTCGTGCTGCTGCTGGTGTAGCCACAAGGCCCTGGCACCGCCAGACTACAGAGGTCAGCATCACAGTGGCGGCTGCGCCCCTAGTTCGGGGTGTCGTTGGGGCTACCAGGTACTGTCCGTGGTGCTGCTTTTGGCACAGGGAGGGCTACTAGACCTGTACCTCATCGCAGTCACCGACCTGTACTGGTGTTCCTGGATTGCCACCGACCTGGTGGTGGTGGTGGGCTGGGCCATCTTCTTCGCCAAGAACAGCCAGGGCCGTCGGGGCAGTGCTGGGAGCCATCACCAGCACCACAATCATGCCTCGCCGCCTCTGCACCTGCCCGCTGCTTCCATTGGGGCTGCAGCAGGGACCAAGGCTCACGGTGGCTGCAGGGGCTCCGGAGGTCCAGGGGGTGGTTTAGGGGCGGCTGAGGCGGTGGGCGAGTTCGCCTTCGCCTACCTGGCCTGGCTCATCTACTCCATCGCCTTCACGCCGAAGGTGGTGCTCATCTTGGGCACGTCCATCCTGGACCTCATTGAGCTGCACGCACCCCTGGGCACCACAGGCTTCCGCCTTACTATGGCGCTGTCGGTGCCTCTGCTCTACAGCTTGGTGCGGGCCATCAGCGAGGTGGGCACTCCCCTGAGTTCAACAGGCCCCTTGATCCTGCAGCCCCAGCAACACCGCGCCTCGGGATGTTTCCTAGGCACGTGTCTGGATCTGCTTGACAGCTTCACCCTAGTGGAGCTGATGTTGGAAGGCCGCGTGCCACTCCCCACACACCTTCGTTACCTGCTCATCATAGTTTACTTCCTCACCCTCTCCTCGCCCGTGCTTTGGCTGTATGAACTCAACGCGGCAGCAGCCGCAGCCGCAGCCGCAGCCGCAGCTTTGTCCTGGGACCAAACTCCTGGACCTGGCAGCTGCAGCCGCCTTCTGCGCCTACTGGGCGGCTGCCTGGTGGACGTGCCCTTGCTGGCGCTGCGCTGCCTCCTGGTGGTGAGCTACCAGCAGCCCCTCTCCATTTTCATGCTCAAGAATCTCTTCTTCCTTGGATGCCGTGGCCTGGAGGCCCTAGAAGGCTGTTGGGACCCTGGAAGTCCAGCTTCTTCCAGTCGGGCTTCTTCCAATCGGGCCCGAGGGTGCTACGGCGCTCCACCCTCTGCCCCGCCTCCACTGCCACCTCCACCACCACCTCAGGGAGACTCTCAGCTGAGTCTCTGTATCACAGAGAACAATGAGGCAGGGGCCCATGGCTATGTCAACACCCTAGATGTGGCCTCACAGAATTAAGGGGAATAAAGGAGGTAGGGCTTGCTTTTCAGTTGAGAGACCTCAGCTCCCTTGTCCTCTAACCTTCTCTCACCCAGGTTACATCAAGATTTGTTTAGAAGAGGTAACTGTTGTCCAGCCCAAGTGGCTCTAGTGGTTGAGCGTGGACCTATGAACCAGGGAGTCATGGTTCGATCCCCCATCGGGGCACATGTCCAGGTTGAAGATTCAATACCCAGTAGGGGGGTGTGCAGAAGGCAGCTGATCAATGATTCTCTCTCATCATTGATGTTTCTATCTCTCTCTCCCTCTTCCTTCCTCTCTAAAATCAATATATATATTTTAAAAAGAACAGGTAACTGTTAATAGAGTTAAGGGCTAGTGTGTCCTTTTGCACTCCTTGGGTCAAGACTGCTTGGAGGAAGACCAGCAGCTAATAGTGAGGGAGGAGGGTCCACTCACTCTATTCTCCCTTCTCCATGCCTGACCCTAATTCTCACTTCTAAGAGTCTGGATACCTCTTCTTCTTGCTTTTGCCACCTCTAACCTAATTCCTAGCCATTGTGTGGAGGAGGGAGGAATGGAGGAAAGGAGGTGCCCAGGCACAGGGTGCTGGGCCTTAGGCCTTCTGTCTTACTTAGAAGTGCCAGCTTCTCTTAGGCTGTGGTTAATGACCATTTCCCATGCCTTGAAATTGACTCAGAATCCACTGTCCCCTCATGTGTTTATTGGATTTCTTCCAAATGGTAGATGCAAAGTCTATGTCTCTATGTACGTGTAGTATTATTTTCTTATGTCTACCTTGTGGCCGGTTGCAATCAGTAGGAGAACTGGGGGGGGGGGCCCAGCCCACTATACATACCACCACCCTCCTTGTTCCTACCTAAACTTGTGGCAATAAATTCCCAGAAAGAGCTGGGCTCCTGGGAGCTGCCCAGTTTCTCTTCTTCAAGAGAGAAGCTCACCCAGGATCTTCCTCTCTTCTCAGCTTATGGAAAAGAGAGTGTCAGACGATTCATATTCTAAGGACCAAACTGCACCCTTTCTTGGGAGAATGGCATTTCTACCTCCATGCTTTTGACTTTTGTTGCATCATGCACTGATGCTGCTTGCAAAAAATAAAGACAAAATACTTGGCAGTTGCATTCAACATGGTCACTGGATCCAGGTGGGATTTTGATGTCAAGGTTGTTACAAGGTCTGTGGAGTATCAGCCATTGGCTTGGCTGTCTCTCTCCCTATGCATCCATATCTCTTTTCCCAAGGTTTGTTATTGGCTCAGTCAGATCTTGGCTCAGAACAGCACCCTTTGTGGGGTTCCTGGATAGATATGAAGTTGGGTCTCTCATAGGCCCACCTGTCCTCCCTGTAGGAAGTTTTGTGAAGACCAGAAATGGTGGTGGTCATTTTTGTCCTTTGCTCTGTTAAGAGAATCTCCAGGGAAAATGCAGGCTTCATGGAATAGGGTAGGCAAACCCACCACTGCCCAGTCTTTCTCTCTGGTATTCCTCTTGTTGAGGTTGATGAGAAGGGACATTCAGGGGTTTCCCACTAATAGTCTTAATGTGGGCATCACTCTTGGAATCTTGGAGGTAGAATAAGTAAGAATAAGTATTTTTAGGGGAGGTAAGCGTGCAATTGGAAGCAAGACCAGGAAATACTCTCCTCCACCCCACAATAGGATAGAGGGGTGAAATTGTAAGAATTTTTGTTTCACTTTCACTTTCTTATGCTCGGGAAGTTCTGTGTGGTGTAGTAAACCCGGGACAAAGGATCAGAAAAATCATGGATTTTAGTTTTGACTGTCACTTTTGCTTTCTGGGCCTCAGTTTTTTTTACATGAGATCACTTTTTCCCAACTTCTTGGGGGCTTGGTGACAGAAAACACCCATGTGGACAGAGACACAAGAGGGGCTCATGGATTAACCAGATACTCTCACAGTGGGGAACAATGGAGAAAAAATGTTTACACTCAATGCACTATCATGCTTCCAACCCCTCACCCTACCAGGTCCAACATAAACTGGTGGAATTTTGCAGCTAATTGGTTTTTCCTCTGTCTTTTCTCCTTTCCGTATTGACTCCTCTTCTTTCTCTTTGAATTTCATGTGCTCAGAGTTCTGGGGCCCAGACCCTGGGTGGGCCCCAATAGCTACTCCCTCTGTTTCTGCATTCTCCCTCCAGCTTTGTTGCTTCCTGCTACCTAATCTCAGTGACTGTGAAAGGGCTTCGCATCTGAACCATGTGCGAGCCCCTGGCTGGTCCCCTACCCCACCCCCTTTTTACTGTTCGGATGGTATTCTCCCCACTGAATGACTGACTGTAAAAATCTGAGTGCTATTGGGTTTTCTGGTGAGAGGCTGTGTTAGGTTCCCATGAGCTGCCACTTCCCTAGATACATCAAGAAACTGATAGATGGGGGGATAAGGACACATATGTAATACCTTAATCAATAAAGAAAAAATAAAAAAGAAAGTTAAAAAAATAAAACTGATAGCAATTGGGCCAATTCTGGTAGATTTGTCTGCCCCCCCACCCCCCACACCCCCCCTAGCTATCCTCTTCCAAATATTTGATGCAAGCACATTGTGTTCAGAGGGTCAGTCCCTCCCTTCCTTCTGGTATGTTTTCCTTGAGTGCTTTTACTTACTTCCCTTGCCCCATTCACAAGAAGAAATTACGCCTAAAGCTTCATTTTTCTTGCCTTCTAGGAGCATCTGCATTGTAGGAGTCAAATTGGAGATGTTCTCTATGGGTCAGATAAACAGGAGTGCACTTTCTCCTGAGGTTGAGGGGAAGCACAGTTCACAGCCAGGAATCCAGGTTCAGAATTCACACTACCTGCTTCTAACATTTGAGCAAGTAAGCATGTCCTCGCTCTGAGCCGCTGACAGCTTATCTGTTTTAAAAAGGGGTTGGACTACTAGACCCTCTAAAGTCTGGTCTAATTTAACATGTCCTGACTCCAATTTCATGTGCTTTTGTGGAAGAGCTAGCTTGCAGTTAGAGCCTGGAAGAAGGAAAGTGGCACCTCACTAGCATTTATCATGTTTCCCCCCCCCCCCTTCTCTTTTTACAAATAAAAACAGCTTCTGTTCTGAAAATAAAAACTTGAGATTTATGACAAACTTCCTGTGTGAATCTTTCCTGTCCAGGTTTCCTTACTAAATTCTTAAATGTCACTGTGACATTTGTCACCATTTTATATATCTGTGTTAACATTATGAGTAAACCTTGGTTATTTCCTTCTAGTGGCATGCTACTCAGGGAGGCAGTGTGGCTTTGGCCTTGACCTGGTGTCTAGCTAGGTTTTCTGTAGGCAGAATTAACTCAGATGCAGCCTGTGAGTGATTTCCCCAGCTATCCAGAGCTTTCTCTACAATTTCTTTCTAAAAATAACTTACCAAAGGGGGAAAGACTGAGAACTAATTTTTAAATACTTTGCACTTCTCTATTACTCTTGCCCCTTCAGAAGCATGAATCCTTATATATGAATGAGAACAAAGCCATGTTTTTGTTTTGTTATTTTGTTATTATTTTGTGAAGTCTAAGACAGAACATTGAGTCTGAACAAAAATAAAATTATAGTATTTTTTGTTGTTCCCCTAATGAACCTTAATGAGCAATCAGCAGGGACCTGAGGCTGCACCCGTGCCCCTGTTGTGGGTGCAGACATTTTGTGTTGCAAAAACCCCCACCTCCGCTGTGGGCGCTGCCATCTTTGTGGCAGAGTGATGGTCAATTTGCATATCCCCTCTTTATTCTATAGGATTGTCTGAGACTCCAACCCAGTTTGGTTTTGTGCTCACAGAATAGTAGAGGTCTTTTTTTTTCTTTGCTCCATTGGTGGAGATTTCTTAGAAGTTGCAGGATACCTTCCTTTTAACTTTTCCTCGACACTGACTTACTTATGTCTCTCACCTTTGCTTTCCCTCCATCCCCCACCCACAACAGTAACTTGCTCCAGGCTCACTTCGCTCTAGTGTCTAGGAGATCCCGCAATGTGTATGCCACCAGAACTCTGATTCCCAGTATTCCTGGTGCTCCCCGTGCTCTGGGTTTCTTCTTCCAGTTCAGAGGCTGCTACCAGAACTATGATTCCCAGAATTCCTGGTGCTCCCTGCACTCTTGGTTTTCGCTTCCAGTCCAGGGGCTGCAAAAATGAAAAGGACTGAGAACTTCAGCTGCCCCAAGGCCGGACTGACAGGACCGGACACTCTAGTGGCGTGCCCAGGACCCCGGCTGCTTGGCACCTGCACACGTATTCCTGGAGTGGCTGGGGGGCTGGAACACCCTCCGCATTGCCACGGCGAAGTGGCGGGTGTCCTGCCCCGCCCTTGGCCGCTTGGCACCTGCGCGCATGCACACTGCCCACAGGCCCGCCATCTTTGTCGGGTTAATTTGCATACTCACTCCTGATTGGCTGTGGGCATCATGAAGGGATAGTCAATTTACATATTTGTCTATTATTAGTATAGATGAGGGGACAAAATTTACACAGGAAAGAATTACAGTACAACCTAAGGCCATACCTTCATTCCTTCCTAAATCTAGATGTAAAATAAGTTGATTAATTTGACTAAGCATGTTACAAATATTTATGCATTTCTCATAGTTAAGCATGCAAGCTCTCATTGATTTTGGTCAGCTAGAGCATATATGAGGCACTTTGGGAAAAGTGAAGAAGTGTAAGCAAGATCTAATTATGAATGGGCCTGACCCTGCAGTTCTGTCCCTAATGAGGAGCATGGAAATATATCTTGTGCTTGATTGTGTCAGGCCCTTGATGCACGTTGGGTTATTTCATTCTCACAGCCACCTCAAATTAGCTTCATTTCCATTTCCAGAGAAGCTTGCTGAATACCACACCATAGTTAGGAAGGGATCCATATCTGAATCCAAGTGTGTCTGCTTCCAAAATCTGTACTCCAGGTAGCCTTCAGACTTCAGCTGTTAACAGGTTGAACTTATCCTTCATTAAAGCTATGCAGTACTGGCTAAAAAGTAGGGGCTAATTTTCATATTCTGTGTGAGTGCCATGGAAGAGGCATTGAGCAAAAGATAACTGGTGAAACACCATGTCAGTGCGCAGGCAAAAGTGGGGGCCAGCCAATTTTGCCTCCCTGTCTCCTTTCTGCTCTCTCATCCTCTCAGGGCACTACAATCTTCTTCCTCTCTTTTCAGAAAGGAAGGATCCAATAAATTAATTTATACTAAAGTGTTTATAACCTAAGGGGTCATTCCTCCTAGGGAAGGAATCTAGATACCTGGGTAGAGAGCAGGCATATTGGACAAGATTTCTTTGTATCCTTCAAATCATGAGAGAGGATGAACATCTCATCTATCTTCCTCTAACAGGCAAGCTGGCTTAATAAGGTGCCCTGATTGCCTTAACCAACCTAAATTGACAGGATGAGAGTGTGGACCCAGTGCCAAGATCTAGGAGCAGTAGTAGGGCATGGAGAGCTCAGGAGAAGCCAAAAGAAAGGAGGTGAACCTGGAAGCCATTTAGGAGTGATGTTGGAAGCACTGAGTGGGAAGCAGACATTGGACAAGGGTCCCATCTGGCAGAAAGCAATGGAGTACAACTTCACAGCCTATGGGCTGGGGGCAGTTGCTTTATTTTATAGTCTTCTATAACATATAATATATATTGTTTCTATTTTCCCAAAATGAGCATATTCGCTCAGACAACACATTTGTTGAGCTCTTAATATCTGCCAAGTATTAGGTCACACATTACTTTTATAATCTGAAAAGGAAAACATGTGGTAAAAAGAAAAGAAAAGCAGTAGCAAGAGGAAAGATAATCAGTACCCTGGGTTCATAAACTGATCTGGCCCAGAATCAGGTTAGAGCTCTTCTCCTTGCTCAGAGGCAAAGAGACTTAAAGACACCTCTGGACTCCTTACAAAGGCAGCAGTATGGGAAGGGTGGAAAGACCTGGACCGACATGGTTATGGCTACAGTGTGTCCAGTGTTACCTGGTGTAGGACACCACCTAAGTCAGTGGTTCTCAACCTTCCTAATGCCACGACCCTCATGTTGTAGTGACCCCCAACCATAAAATTATTTTCATTGCTACTTCATAACTGTAATTTTGCTACTGTTATGAATCATAATGTAAATATCTGATATGCAGGATGTATCTTCATTGTTACAAATTGAACATAATTAAAGCATAGTGATTAATCACAAAAACAATATGTAATTATATATGTGTTTTCTGATGGTCTTAGGCAACCCCTGTGAAAGGGTCGTTTGATCCCCAAAGGGGTCGCGACCCACAGGTTGAGAACCGCTGACCTAAGTGCTTCACATGTATGTTTCATCCACTCTTCACAAGACCTCTGTAAGGTAGGAATTCCTGCTGTACCCATTTTAGAGACAAGATGAGACCTGTGAACCCTGACAAAAAAGACAATTACTAAGAAAGTCTCCTAGTGGCTAACTGGGCTAAAACAAAAATAAAAATAGCCTAGCAGCCATTTCTACACAGGGGCCTCTTATACAAACTATACTTAAGGGAGAAGCCTGCACTGAACTGCCTGCATGCACTGTTTCTGCCATCTGAATCAACTATTATAAAAGCTCCTGGAATCCTATTTTAACCAATAAGACTGAGGTTTTTCCACATACAATTGGAGCTAACAGCTCTGACCAACCAGAGTGGCTCTATTCTGACCATCAGGGCAGTGAGTTTTGGACCAAGCAAACTGGGAGGATATGAAGTCCTCATTTGCATGATGACAGATCAATCAGGGGCCTGGGGTGGGGACTTCTATCTATATAAGCCAGCTCCCCTCTGGCTCTGAAAGTGTACTTTCCCTACACCAAGACTGAGTCTCCTTTGCTGAGCTAAACACCAGAGATGTCTTGCTGGAGCAGAGAGCAGGC